GTTGATTTCATGCTGCAGTTGAGAATGTTTGAGTCTGTGACTGTCATGTCACAGATGACTGCTTTAAACCTCCACCGGTACCCAAGCATTCAGACAAATTTCTTCTACTTTGGGAACAAAACACAGCTGTAAAAACCATGCATCCTGTTCACAAAGATGCACATGATGGCCAGCACAGGATATGCATCTTGGGCAACTATTGTTTTGTAACAGACTTAGTAGCGAACTACCTGGCATGCTCTTTTACACTGGTTCGACTCCTGGTAACGTGTGACACACATGGATGTCAATCAATTTTTAGAGCCATGATGTTTTTTCTCAAGCTGCTGGAGCTCGTTCCAAAGCCGGCACCGTTTAAAAAACACTATTGACAACTAAGGACTAATCTTTTTTTTTTAACTCTCTTTGTTTTTTTTTTATTTCAGCCAGTATGAATCCATGTGAGGTGAGCAGAGTAAATCAGTTAAAATGCTGCTTGGAAATGACCAAATTCAAAGATCTTTCGAAAAAAATTTATCAAGAAAATAATCATTAAAACTACAACTTTAAAAGATGCAATCTGCTTCGGTTGGCTACATAAATTACTGCAGACACCGCAAGTGGAGCCGGTGTCAGCACATGGCAAAACAAGATAAAAGGCCGAGGATTTAACCACTGGGCTTCCAAGGCCAATACAACAGATGACTGCCTAAGTCACTGTTGTAGGTGCGTTTTGGTCGGAGCGGGCGTGGGTGGAGCTTCACTGGAACGAACCATTTGATTTCCACGTGCAAATTCAGGCTGAAAAAAGAACTGGTATTTAAGAGAAAATGACATCTCAGTTGTGCCACTGGTAATATTTTATCATATATGGTGCCTTCCTTTGCTCTCAGTGGTTTAAAATAGCATGATATGGAACCTTTAAATTGATCTGTTTGGAAATGTTTTTGTTCTCCTTCATTATTTCACGTTATACGCAAGGCTCAACTTTGACCTTTTCAGGTTCTTTTCAAATGTCATTCTTAGGCCTCCGGCATGGCTTTGTGCATTCATCTTGTGATGGTTACTAAGTTCTGAGGTGAATCAGGGAGAGTACAGTCGCAGGGGAACCTGTCTCAATCTAATTTAGATATAAACATAACACTTTCTACATCCTCTTCCCTTCATCAGACCTTTCCTTTATCACAGCTGCTAATTTTTACTTTGGCCTCATAGTTATAGAAATATGTGTGTATTATTGAATTAAAATGATTGAAAATTGTACTGTACCAAGTCCCACATATGAACACATTCCATTGTGGTGATGCATGTTGAAGGAATTATTACAGAAAGGATTCTACTCTCCTCTTCTGTTCTGTTGGAGCTGTCTGTCCTCTAACTTTTTGTATTTGTCTTTACTGTCTCTTACCTTGAATGAGTTCCTTTGCACTCCCAGGAACAGTAAAAATGTTAACGTGAGCGATGGCAGCGGCACTTAGGTTTATATTACTTGCAAGCAGCTCTTTATGGGACTGTGTAGAATACTTTCTGCCAAGGACTGTGAATTAGGAAGGGAACAAAAGGGAAGGACAATACGATGAAGAAGATCATCTAAAAAAATCATGCTGGAAATTATCGTATATTTTGTTTACACCGTATAAGATGACCTTTCTGGTCAAATGTACACACACTCTTAGAACAGTGGGTCACCAAAGCATGACTAAACCAAGGTCATGTCTTGTCACTTGCCTTCCGATGACAGTGTTTTTCATGAGTGAGAGAAAATCAGGAAGAAGATGGAAAGTGGGTAAAAAATAGAAACTCTGCAGCAACCATGTTAAGTGTTTACGAGATGAAGATCTGTGTGTATCCCTGTGCTCCACCGTGCTCCTCTCACTGACACACCGGCACGGCAGCTAATCAGCCAATCCCGGCTGGGTACTGTCTATGAGGCCTGATTGGCTGATTAACTAAGCTCATCAACACACCACCCATTGTGACTACAAAATGCACACTGCAACACAGAAAAGCACATACACACTTTGTACAAATTACTTTGAACCCTGTGGAGTGTGTGTGTGTGTGTGTGTGTGTGCGTGTGTGCGTGTGTGCGTGTGTGTGTGTGTGTGTGTGTGTGTGTGTGTGTGTGTGTGTGCGTGTGTGCGTGTGTGCGTGTGTGCGTGTGTGTGTGTGTGTGTGTGTGTGTGTGTGTGTGTGTGTGTGTGTGTGTGTGTGTGTGTGTGTGTGTGTGTGTGTGTGTGCGTGTGCTCGTATTTGTTAATTTCCTTTCTTTCTATAAAACGCTCTTGAGTTCATGTCTGGAACTTTTCTGAAGTAAAGTACAACATTGTTAAAAGTAGATAGCGAGTGGGATGCGAAAGTTTGGCCAGCCTTGTTATTCTTCATGATTTTTCTGTATAAATCATTGTTGTTACAGTAAAACATTTCAGTTAATTATAGGAGACAGACACATTGATACTTGAGAAGTGAAACAAAGTTTATAGGATTTACAGAAAGTGTGCAACAATTGTTTGTACAAAATAAGGCAGGTGCATATAGTTGGGCACCACAAAAAAAGAAATGAACTCAATATTTAGTAGATTCTCCTTTTGCAGAAATAACAGCCTCTAAACCAGGGGTGCCCAATCCTGGTCCTGGAGGTATTTATGGGGCCTATTGTAAGTTTTCCTCCTCTGTGAATATACTCTGAAGAGCAGCAACATGGGGTCTCACAACAACTCTCACATGACCTGAGAACAAAGATTGTTCACCGTCATGGTTTAGGGAAGGATACAGAAAGCTGTCTCTGAGATTTCAGCTCTCTGTTTCCACTGTTAGAAACATGTTGAGGAAATGGACGACCACAGGCACAGTTCATGTTAAGGCACCAAGTGGCAGACCAAGAAACATCTCAGATAAATAGAAGAGAAGAATGGTGAGAACAGTCAGAGTCAACCCACAGACCAGCACCAAAGACCTACAACATCATCTTGCTGCAGATGGAGTCTCTATGCATCGTTCAACTATTCGGCGCACTTTACACAAGGAGATGCTGCATGTGAGAGTGATGCAGAGGAAGCCTTTACTCCACCCACACCACTTTTCCCTTCTCCCATTGACCCCTTGAAAATGTTCCAAGTCATTTGGGGACTCCCTCACCAATCCCATTCTAAGGTTGTTTCCAACAGTCACAGCCTAGTGACATGGTGGTTTCAGGCCTGGGTTTAGGAATGATGTCCAGCTTAAGCTGTATTGAGATGTACAAGGAGATGATGACTCATGACTCATGGAGAAACGGATCTCCCTAGCTCTCTGGAGGACTGGAGGAGAAATTTGAAGTGACGTTTCTGAGCTCCTCTATCAGAGTAGTGTTTGGCATGTCATCATTCAATTGCTAATACAGATGTCTATATAAACAACTTAATATCCTCAACTTGAACATTTGTGAGAAGTCTCAGTGAAGCATTTTGACCTTTTGCTGTAGGCAAAACTGCATTATAGACCTTTAAATATAGGATATCCACTGTAACCCCTGACTTCACCCATGGCCTCCTTTGTTTCAGTCATGCATGTTTCCCTCCGGCTTTATTTCCATTTTCCCCAATCCATTATCATTTGTATTTTCTATGCAGAGCACAGCAACACATTTAGTCTGGCTGTGCCCTGAGGCAGATCAATGCCAATATTTATTTCATGTCCAATTACTGGGGCAGAACCACATAACACAGCGATAAAAGTAAGAACTCCTCTCATGGAGAAACGCACAGAAACCACATTAGAAGTTCAGCCTGCAGCTTCGGGCTTCAAGCACAAGTGATACGAGTACAAGTGCAGGTTATAGGATCCAATAGAGCTAGCTACAGGCATTACCAGGAGGTGATGATTCAAAAGCTGAGTGAAACCCTGTTGCATTCAGGAGATTTCTTCTCTCCACTTTCTCCTTTCCTTCACCCATTTTCCTGCACTGATTTAAGAAGTCAGTTGTGAGAGCTCTTGGAATTTCATGTAGAATGAAAACAGTTTTTTTCTGATGATTTCTGAAATATGATCAGTCACTGTGTTTCACGTGTAGGCTGAATGAGAAGTTCGGGTTAGTCTTCTACACCTATTTCCTGCATTAGCCGCCGATAGAAAAGAAACAGGAGAGCTGTTGGATTAGAAAAGCGTGACAGATTTACTTCACACTGAAAATTAACATCGGTGGACTCACCCATCTTGGCTTGTGACTGGGTAAGGCTGCTGTTGATTTAGCATCGCTGGAACAGCAGAGCGCGTCTTGGCTAGTAGAAGCTAGCCATTAGAGATAAAGCATCAAATTTGCAAAGCAAAAGGAGTCAGTGGTACTTTTTTTGCTGTTATCCAATCAGATGCAAGATGTCCAAATATCAGGGAATAAGACTCCAAATGCTACTGAGTTCTTTTCTCCACTCCTCTGGCTAACTTTTACTTTCTAAAACAGAAGCACCAGAGCATTTTTCCAACAGAGATCGACTCACAATATATTAATTTATTCAAGAGCGAACTGCAAATTTGTTGAAAAAAAAACTGTTAATGTCTTTAATGTACCGTGTATCTAGTTTTAAATAAAACAATTGTTATCAAGATAGCTTAGAAGGTTTTGCATGGTAACTAAAGCTTCTAAATGTAAGGCAAGAGGGGATTGCTAAAAGTAGGAGGAGGGCAAAAAACTGAAAATTCATGTTAAGCAAAACAGTTAAACTAGAACCACAAGATGTGTTCAGTCAGTTTAAACTAAAAAGAAATGTAAAGAGGTGGGATTCATTTTATAATCTTCACAGCAGGTGGTACGATTTAGAAGGAGTCATTTTGCAATCAAAGATAAAGCAAGCAGAGAATACAAATCATGGCCAGTTAGCTGGGCTTTTGTCTGAAAATAGATGGTTTTGTTGTTCCAACTAGTATACAGTACTGTATTTGCAATCAATCTATACCCAATGTACACTATTGTCATAGAAACCATTGTATTTACATGTATCATTTTCATCTCCTTTATTTTCTTTTCTGTTTTTCTTCCTTTTCAGATTTGTTCCTGACAACTGATGGGCCTATGTTTGAGACTTGGATCAATAAGGTACATTTTTATTCATCTACTCAAAGTATAACTGAATCAATTGTAAGTTGCTCATTGGATGTTAGTGTAACAGATTTGGGTAATTAGCCCTTACACTATAGTCCCATCCCTTTGCAGTGATAACAGTTTTGCTACTGTGGTGGAAAATATAATAAAATTGCATTTAAAGACACAATCCTGAATTTTGCGGACATACAATGCTCAGCATAAATGAGTACACCACACTACATTAGCCAGAAAACCTTTAGTTTCCTTTCAGAATCCACGTTTTCTATGAGACACCATACTTCAAAATACTCCCAATAATGTGGGTCATTGATTGCAAACAATATTTGTTCATTTCCAAACACAAAAAGTGATTTCCTAACAAATCCATTCAAGCCCATGTTGCAAAAATGAGTACACCCCAAATAGGGTCTTAGGAGAAAAGTCACATTTAGGACTACAAATTTCAAATTAACAGCTATTCAACCACAGGTGAGTCTAATGGTTTGTTTTAGATGTGTCCAGCAGACGGGTAACTACAAAAGGGTGTTACTTAACAAAGAAAAGCCCTTCCCATTTCATGCTGACAACAATGGCTCCACGTGGAAGAGAAATGTCACAAAATCTGAGAAAGGAAATAATTTCTTTACACTAAAAGGTGAGGGCTACAAGCAGATCAGCAAAGCTTTACTTATTAGTCAGAATACTGTAGCAAAAGTGGTCCAAACATTAAAGAAAGATGGAAGTGCAACCATCTCACAGAGACGTCCAGGTCGTCCATGGACATTATCTCGATAGGAGCATCTTCTGATGAGAAGGGTTGAAGAAAATCACTATGCAAGTTCACTGCAGCTAAAGCAGTAGAAAGCCAAACTGGAGTGAGTTTCCCGTGGCACCATACGACGTACACTGCAGAGGAATGGCATGCGTGGGTATCTTCCACAAAGGAAGCCTCTCCTAAAGCCCATGCACAGAAAACACACCTAGGATTAGCTAGGGCCCATGCTGAAAAAGACAAAGACTACTGGGACTCTAGACTCTGGAGTGATGAGACAAAGATCACTGTTTTTGGAACTAATGGTTTCAAAACTGTATGGCGTCGTAAAGGTGAGGGTTTTAAAGAGAAAAACATGGGGCCCACAGTGAAGCATGGTGGTGGCGGCGTCCTTATGTGGGGCTGAATGGGTGCTGCTGGTGTTGGGGAGCTGCATTTCATTGATGGTGTCATGAACTCAACAATGTACTGCTCTAGACCGAAGGAAAAGATGCTGCCATCACTTCGTTCACTTGGTCGTCGTGCACTTTTCTAACGCGACAATGATCCAAAGTTGCTTTTGTGAAGAAGAACAGGGTGAAGGTGATTGAATGGCCAAGTACGTCTCCTGATCTGAACCCAATCCAACACCTGTGGGGAATTCTGAAGCAGCAAGTTGAGCATCACTCTCCAGCCAGCATCCAGGCTCTGAAACAGGTTCTTCTTGAAGAATGGAATAAGATAGATGTTACAATATGTCACCAACTTGTTCATTCCATGTCTAGAAGACTTGGTGCTGTCCTTGCAAAATACCAGATGTAGTAGTTTTTAATGTGAGGTGTATTTATCCTTGCTTCAACCAATTTTAGTAAAACTGAAGATTGTGTGATTAACCTTAATTTCATTTTACGGAGGTAAACACTTATTCAATAAAACCCTGCTGGAAATTGGTCTTTTGTTCACTGAGCTCCTGATTCAATTCATACTTTTTAAAGGGGGTGTACTTATTTATGCTGAGCACTCTATCCCCTCTGTTGCCCTCTCAAACCTCTCAGCATAACGTCACTGTCATAAAATCACATCTCTCTGCCGCACATAAGAGGCATGTCTACTGGCTGTATTCACTTGCGCACCCAAACAAACACATTAAGCTGCATTTCAGCATTGAATAGAACTGTATAACAACTTTATACCTGATCAAACACAATAACCCTGGTGAAATAATTTATTACTTACCTATCCATTAGCAGCACGGCTAGGTCAGAGTCTGTAGTACCTGTCGTTCTTTCAAGAAGAGCTCTCCAGCGAGGAAAAGCCAGTCCAATATTAACTTTGGTCTTTGTTCTTGCTCCATCGCATTCTCCTTTTCTTTTCCTAGATTCCTCTGATGAGGGATTTCTAGCTTTCTTTGGTGGATCTGCCATTGCGCAAGTCTCAAATCCGCGGGTCTACCACGCCACGTGGACTGGCGCTGCCTACTGGAGCTGTCGTAGTGGCCGGCCACCATTTTAGATAGGTCTCCATTCGTCCACTGTGCATTCATTTCTACTGAGGAAGGTGCTCACCCAACTAAAAAACATATTTTATTAAGCTCTTTCACAAAATCAGACACAAGATATGGCAAAGTAATTAAAATATAAATTGAATTAAACAAAACAAATAAAACTAAATGTTTATCTAAAATCCTATCAGGTTGGTTAGGAAAGTCACTAGTAATCCTACGTGATCTGTTTTCAATTGTATGCCGGTTGTTGTGACTGTAGGCTGCACAAAAGTGGGCATAGTTGCTCACTCAGCATTGAATTTGGAGAGTGAGTAGACCCATCCAATATGGCGGCAAAGATGTTGCACTCTCCGTCTCTCAGTGGGTCATTTATGTACCGTATTCATGTCTGTGGGGTCTACAGTTGTGGTCAGAAGTTTACATACACTTGTAAAAAATATAATATAATGGCTCTACTGAGTGTCCCGTTATTTCTAAAACTCTGATTTTTCTCTGATAGAGTGATTGGAACAGATACTTCTTTGTCACAAAAAACATTCATGAAGTTTGGTTCTTTAATGTCTTTATTATGGGTTAACAGAGAAAAGTGATCACATTTGCTGGGTCACAAATATACATACAGCAACATGAACTAGCAATTTTGGTGACTTAGAAACGTGTCAGTGAACTGAGCTTCATAGCATGGCCTCTTAACTTCTTGTGAGTGATTATGAGTGACTACAGCTGGTGACTTCTCTTAGGTCAGGTAAATAGGGCTCATTGGATACAAACGCCCACAAACGCTACAATGGGAAAGTCAAAGGAGCTCAGCATGGATCTGAAAAAGCGAATTATTGACTTGAACAAGTCAGGAAAGTCACTTGGGGCCATTTCAAAGCAGCTGCAGGTCCCAAGAGCAACAGTGCAAACAATTGTTTGTAAGTATAAGGTGCATGGCACTGTTTCATCACTGCCAAGATCAGGAAGAAAATGCAAGCTATCACCTGCTGCTGAGAGAAAATTGGTCAGGAGGGTAAAGAGTGAACCAAGAATCACCAAAAAGCAGATCTGCCAAGAATTAGAAGCTGCTGGAACACAGGTGTCATTGTCCACAGTCAAACGTGTTTTGCATCTCCATGGACTGAGAGGCTGCCGTGCAACAAGGAAGCCCTTGCTCCAAAAGCGGCACCTTAAGGCTCAACTAAAGTTTGCTGCTGATCACATGGAAAAAGATAAGACCTTCTGGAGGAAAGTTCTGTGGTCAGACGAAACAAAAATTGAGCTTTTTGGCCACAATGCCCAGCAATATGTTTGGAGGAGAAAAGGTGAGGCCTTTAACCCCAAGAACACCATGCCTACAGTCAAGCATGGTGGTGGGAATATTATGCTGTAGGGCTGCTTAACTGCCAATGGAACTGGTGCTTTACAGAGAGTAAATGGGATAATGAAGAAGGAGGATTACCTTCACATTCTTCAACATAACCTAAAATCATCAGCACGAAGGTTGGGTCTTGGGCGCAGTTGGGTGTTCCAACAGGACAATGACCCCAAACACACATCAAAAGTGGTAAAGGAATGGCTAAATCAGGCTAGAATAAGGGTTTTAGAATGGCCGTCCCAAAGTCCTGACTTAAACCCCATTGAAAACATGTGGACAGTGCTGAAGAAACAAGTCCATGTCAGAAAGCCATCAAATTTAACTGAACTTCACCAATTCTGTCAAGAGGAGTGGTCAAAGATTCAACCAGAAGCTTGCCAGAAGCTTGTGGATGGCTACCAAAAGCGCCTAATTGAAGTGAAATGGCTAAGGGACATGTAACCAAATATTAGCACTGCTGTATGTATATTTGTGACCCAGCAAATGTGATCACTTTTCTCTGTTAACCCATAATAAAGACATTAAAGAACCAAACTTCATGAATGTTTTTGTGACAAAGAAGTATCTGTTCCAATCACTCTATCAGAGAAAAATCAGAGTTTTAGAAATAACGGGACACTCAGTAGAGCCATTATATTATATTTTTTACAAGTGTATGTAAACTTCTGACCACAATTGTTCGTGATACTGCCGGTGTCGGTACAGGATCTGCTCGGGTGCAGGATCGGCTCGGAGTCGTTCGACTGCCGATGACGTCACATTACTGCAAATCTACTCCGCTTTCACACATACGTTTTGGAAAGACATCAGCAGTTTTGTTAATAAATTCTTGTTTGTTAACACCTAAATGGTTTCTTTATAATTGTAATTTGTTAATAAAACACCATATTATCTTTGTTTTGTAAAGAATGTGAAACAGCATGAAACCAACATCGGACTGACAAAAAATAGAACAGTTCTTATATGTGAAGCCATGTCTGTTTGTATTAACGTGGAGTTCGTCTGTATATTTCCTTAGTTGTTATCTAAATTCATGACTCAAAATATTGCTTGGTGTCTTTCAATAAAGTTCTTATATTTTATTTTGCCCCATTTCATCAACATCAAGAGCTTTTGAGGGTCACCGTTTATCATTTGCTTATATTTTACATTTCCTTTAGAAATTCAAACATATATTTTCTCCAAAAATTGTTGATTTTTGGACTACAGGACTACAACCGCTAACACTACAACCGCTCATTTGTTCTGACCAATCAAAATCATAACGTGATAACGTCACTTCCGTAAGCTTCATGTTCAGCCAATCAACTACTTTGACGTCATCGGCAGTTGAAGGACCCCGAGCCGATCCTGCACCCGAGCAGATCCTGTACCGACACCGTAAAGCAACACGCAGTCAA